ATACGTATAGTACGAAACAAATTCCATGTCACACATCTTCTTGAAGTTGAATATATTTCATGTTTAACCGCGATGACATTGTGTTTACTAAATCACAAAATCTGTTGGTGCAGCGTTGCTTCAAGTTCATTGTATGTTGTCTCTTTCAGCTTCGGTACGTACTTCAAAATGCCTGCTTTTATGACCTGGGCAGGTCTGTGGCTCGTAATGGTGTGGCTGCAGTTGTTGTATATTTTAGGCATGGTGGTCTTGAAGAAATGCGGATGGTTGTAACATTAGCGCTCGTGTGACTGTTCAAAATGGATGCCACACACTGGGAAACTAATCAGACCTGCTGTGTGACTGAGGGAGTAAAATACCCGTTCTGTATCTTCACTGAAATACTTTCGATTCCCTGAATACTTTCTGCTCCTTTACTCAAAGGCTTCCTTTTTCCAAGCTGATCTGTGTCAGATTTCAGCGACCTTGGCCAGACAAAAAGTTGATTTCCGTCTGAGATGACAGGCATGTGAACAAAAACAGGTCCTGTCCTGTCTGTAGTGTCAGCTTCACCCTGTTAAATGCTGTGATATACTGTTGGATTAATGCGTCTTAGGGCTGATGTGTGCTGTTTATTCAGCTTAGCGTTGGCTCATGTGCATCAGTGCAACAGCTGTGAGAGGTTCTGATGGTTGTGGATGTCGAGGGTTCAAATCTTTCTCCCCCACGACCCCACAGATTGTCTGCCGCATCAACAGGCATCAGTCTTTTGGTATTTATGCTAGAGATGTTCCGATACCGATACTTGTGCTGTGGGTATCGGCCGATACCGAGCACCGATCTGATACCAGTAGCTATATTATTTCTAATTTATAATAAATTCAAGCCATTTATTTTTAAATTTATTTTTAAATAAAACAGTATAAAAAAGCTTCCAGAGTTTGCTGCTGCGGCTCGTCCTTCTTTTTCCCTTTTTGTTTTAGAAAATTCGTTCTTAAAACACTGGTGCCACCCCTTGGAGACTTGTATCTTTTGCACATCCGAATTAATGTGGATATCGTTTAAGGGTGGGAGAATTAGTCCAGTGTGATCATATTGTCCCACCACCCGCCTGTACACTGTCGGAATAAGTCGTACTAGCTTAGCTCCAAGCCTCGCGTTCAACGGCTCTGACACACGTGCGTGTGTCTGTTTGTGTTCGGGCACATAGTGTCACCGTGATCATTTCCTCCTCCGTCCCTCGGAAAACAGCCAGCGTGCAGGGTTGCAGGGCACAGGCCGCCGACCGTTTGTTAAGAAGCGGGCGAAGACAACTGTACCAGAGCTTAACCGAGCTTGACAGCCAGAAAATTTGGTACTAACTTTCATACCCTAAATGACGTGTATGGCGCACAGGTTGCTGGACTCCATGTACCTCAGGGCTCGATACTCCGTACCAGCATTTTCCGCAGTATCAGTTCCAGCAATTTCCGATACTGGTATCGGAATCAGAACAACTCTAATTTATGGTCAGTACGGTGCAGATTTTAAAGCTAAACTCATTTCTTTCAATTGTTTCAGCTGTAGTTTGGTTTTGTGAATCTCTATCTAGCAGATATAGTGCTGAATTCTTATCTTCAAAGGCTTTCATTTGCTCAACAAGGACGTCGGCACTTTTTAGCCTGTCCCTTGTATAAGAACTCGTTCAAAAATGTGGACAGCTGACTGGAAAGAACGAGCCCTGTACAGGGCAGGGCATTTGCATCTTGTTGGAAGTCAGCTGCTTTTACAGCCTGCAACCAGTGTCAGTCTCAGTCCCACACCCATAGAAATGAATCCCCGCCTGCTTTCCTGCATCTGTTTAGGATGACAAACGGGGTTAAACTATATTTGATCATCCACCCTTAAAGTTAGTTGTGTATCTCCCGTGTTGCTCTCGGCTGTTGAGCTGTGGGATGTGAGACACTGGTGCAGTAACTCTCATCTCTGTGGTTTGGAGGCTGGCACTCTCCTGCCCATTAGGATAAAGTGGTGGACGCTGGCGCTGCATTTTTTCAGGCACTCAGTCTGGCTGGGACTGTGAAGCTGGGCTCAGTGCACTGCAATTATTGAAAGAGTCATTCAGCACTTTCATAGTGTGTTTGTTAGTTCACTCTGGTAGCCCACCCCAAAGACAGACTGGGTGCCGAGCGTGTTGACAGTGGTAGACCTTATGTACACTGTTATATTTGCATTATTTCTGTGTATGTAGCTAAACTCTATTAGACTTTCTGTTGGATGTTTCTGATGTTTCTGATGCTGTCTTCACGTGTCCCTCTTTCCCATGTGTAGCAGCCTCTCTGCTGAGGTAACGCTGTGTATTTATTCTATTTAGTTATTGATCCAAGGCTGTCTGAGGTGAATCAAAGTGCACAGCTGCTGTAAGGGTGTGTGTGTGTTTGTGTTGCGCAGGTTGGGCATATCCTGCTATCATCCTTTGCTCTGCTTCTCCTGATGAGCATGAGAAAGTCAGTCCTGCGTGCTGTGTAATTGGTTTGTGTGTATGTTTCACAGCGTTCAGGGGCGTGGCTGTGGGTTTGGACGGTTGTCAGCGAGGCAGGCAGGGGAGGTGTGGGATCACTGTCCATCTGGCCTCAGCTCACCCTGCCCAGTCAGAAGCCTGGTAACTGATCTGGGCCTCGGCCTCTCAGCACTGTATTGACTCTCTGCCTGCGTATAGCCGGTTGGCTCGTGGTCAGGAGAGCAGTCAATGGCTGGCTTTAAAATGACAACACTGATGTCATCTGTCTTCTCTACAGCCAACCATCCTTGATGGAAGTGCTTAATCTGTCTCTTTATGTTCAACTCCAATTACTAAAAATAATGAAATGATGTGAATAAGAGGTAGTGTTTGTATTTTTCTCATGCAGGCACCGTCTTCTCCAGCCCCCTCCTTCCACTTTCATTAGCTATTTGTCAGTGGAAAGCAACAGGAAATATGGAAAAAGAGGGAGATGACCTGGGACAAAGGTCCCTGGCAGGACACTGGGATCAGTTTTATACTGCAGTATGCCTGGTCTAAATCTGTTATATAGCCATGGCTTCATTCTTCAACTCCCTCCATGTCTGGCAATCCTTCTGCAGCCTTTCTACTCATTTCTCCTCTTATAAGTGATGTTAAACAGGTTTGACATTAATTAACGTTTGTGAACAAAACTATGAGCCATAGCATTGTTGGTATAAATGAAACTGCCTTCGCTGACCTCAAAGTGAGAGCAAGTGAGCAAAAGCAAGCGTGAGCTGAATCTGCTGAATTCAGTTTGTATTTACAGTATGTAATGTATGTAATGTATTTACAGTATGTAATGGACAACAGCAGCAGATATCAGAGGACAGTAAGGAGGAGCCTGTGACAGAGCAGCAGTCCTTAAAGAACTGGTTGAATGTGAGTCCAGTACATCCATATGATATTAAAGGTGTACTGTATGAGAGAGTCCTCCAGTCCCTCTTTCACCCTGCAGCCTATTCAGGATCCCTGGGTACTTGTGGGTGAAGTTCCCCCTGCCAGCTGCTCCTCCGTCCCGTTGCAGTAGTTAATCTACTGAAACCCCCCCCCCCCTCCCCTCGGCATCATGTCTGTGGGGGCTTACGGTTCGCACCAGTGCACGGACAAATGGGACTTGTCTGCCCCCGGCCGCCTCATAGGACCCCTAATGTTATACTCAGTTGCATGCAAACAAGTAAGATGATCATGGTGGTTGTTGTTACCCAGATCTGATTACATGCACACGAATACACACTCAGTGCTTCCCTTCCCGGTTGATGATCCCACTCGACCGGACTCACCCCCCGTCCCGCTGGCAGCAGGCCCTGCTCGTGTTTTTTAATTTCATTTTTTTGAAAATCCTGCCAGGTGTTTAGAACAGATTGGAACCCATTTCCTGCAGTATCTTCGAGACACTTTGCTGCACAAGTAGCCGCTAGTTCCAATCCTGTCCTGCCCCACTCCCTCCAGAAGGCTAACGGGCTTAGTCCACTTAACTTGCAGCCACATTTAACCACCTGCTTCTAATAGCCTTATTAAGTAGCTTACAGTCACTTAACACATGTTAGTGTCCCGTATGGAATTGATTAGAACAAGCTCGCATGCTTAACGTCAAGACCAATCCCCTCCGTCATGAAAGTGACTCATCTCAACAATCTTCTCAACAAAAGCTGCATGTTTAGTAAAACATGTTTAAATGTATTAATGGGGTAAATACTAGGGCTGCACAATATGGTAAAACAATCATATTGGGATTATTTTTGACAGACACTACGGCTGCAATATGATTCACGATTAGTTGAAATTTTTGCAATCGCGTAAAAAAAAAAAAAAAAGTATTAAAGTTGTGTGTTGTTTGGGTCTGTACCAAACTAACATGTTTTCTTAAAGTGGAGAACAAGACTTTTAGTGCAGGCAATCTCTGCAGCACTACAGCATATCATTATAATGCACACATTTTACATTTATCAACAAATTGCAGCTTCTTGCAATTTAGGTATTGCACTAAATTATACTGAGATTTTGATTATATTGCAATTAATTCTGGAGCTCTAGTAAACATTTATTTCCTCTCCGTAAATCAAAACGCACATCATCGAAGGGATCTGGCAGACATGGACTTTTTTTTTTCAAACTGAAGATAATCAGTGTTAGTTAGTGATACACATGCCTGTTTGCTGATGGTTTCTGGGCATATGGCTGTATCATTCATTTAATTTGATATAAAATAAAATAATTCCTGATGTTGGGCTAGTAGCTTGATCAGATCATATTTGTCCTAGGTTTAACTTTTGTAAATTACTTCCCAATAATGTAGGGGTTAATGACAGAGGTATGTTAGAAAGCTATTTGTAGAAAAGTCAGTTTATTCAGGACAAGCATTTGTCAACATGAATGCAGTGTTGAAACACGATGACGTAGGGCTTGTCAACAGCTGCACGGTGTTGTTATTTGGACAGATGAAGAGAAGCCAGTCAGGTGGGAAAATCATTGAGGGTTAATAACGTTCTTTGTCTACAGATAACGAGGTGCATGGAGTGCCATTCATCTTCCTGATAGTTTTGTGCAAGGGGCGAGGAGCCTCTGTAAGTAGACCTGCCTTTCACACACACACACACACTTTTATATAAGAGCTCCATCCACAGACATCAACAGAGACTGGCTGGTGAAGGTGCCAACGAACAGCTTCAGTGGTGGTAAAGACCTGAGGCATTAAAAATGTAGAGAAAATTATAATCCTACTATTCTACGAAGCTATAGGATGGTAATCTATCAATATTACAATATTATTGTTTGTGGCCACAGCTGCTCAGATTGTTTTATTGTATAATACAATATTGATATTTCTAATATAACATTTATTTTAATATTTGACAAATGTTTTTAAAAAGCAGCCCTGTGGAGTCTTAACCCTTCCCCTCCATGAGGTGGTTCATTAGATGAGGGGGGAAGTGTTAAGCAGTGCTGTGGCTTGACTGCCAATAATGCGTCATCCACTATACAGGATGTTGACAACAGAAGTCGGAAACTGATAATTTATGTTTGATGCTTCCTTTTCTTTGGCATAATGCAGCCTAAACACATTATTACTGTTCCATCAAAGCAAAGACAAATGATCTACAACATCAAGTGAAAACAGGTCATAGTTGTGTGTTTCAGTGGATGTTTTTATTTTCATAATGCCAAGAGTTTTCTCATTCCTATTGAGATGCCCCCTGAATGTGATGAGTATAGAGCACAAAGAACTGTCTTGTTTTAGTGTTTACTGCTTTTAAATGCAATCCTCCTCTAGGCTGCTTTTAACCTGCAGGAGTGTGTACACACTGTGCAGCACAAGCATGATTTCATTAATCCTTACTCAGGGTTCGTAGAAAGAGTCTGGAAAAGGCTTCATTTAACCTTTTTGTTATGTAACATTATGATCCCTTACTCAGATTGATCGTGATTATCTAATGCTCTCGCATATTTAAAATGAATATTAAAAGCTGGTCAAATAAAGTGACAGTATACATTGATTGCTGTTGGTATGAAGAAATGATGTAAGCTGTAACATAATGTGACGATCAAGACAAGAAGAGTCTTCAGTTGTTGGGTTTAGATACCTTGAAAATGCTTGAAACAAGTTTGAATTTGACTCTTTAAAAGCTGTATGAATGCTGCTAACTGGAGCTTCTGGAGCAGTCACCAGTTAGTTTTGTGATACTGATCTAAGCTGGTGCACAAAGTCACTTATTCAACAGAGGAGGAGGATAGGAACATTGAATGACCCTTTTCTTTGTCTTGTTTGACGCATAAACAAACACGGTACATCATGAGGAGGGTATTTCACAGAGTGAGAGAGCTGCAGAGATGGAGGCAACTATTTAGCAAAGTGCTCCGTAGAGCTGTATTTTCACAAACCCTTGGCTCCTATGCACTCCTCCTCTGCTGTCAGCATGCTTTGAGACATATTTGTGTGTGTGTTCCAGCAGCAGATAGAATTTCTCCTCTTTCTCTTTCTCTCTCCCTCTGTCACTCTGTATGTGTGTGAACTTAACGCTCACTAGGTGATGCAGCAGAAACGGCACTACTGCCTTGTATGGTCAGATGGAGACCATCTGAACACAGCCGCCCATTTCTTCCAGTCAATTCACCTACCTACTTTTTAGGATTGTTTTCAGCTTCATGCAGGTTTTGTAGTGGCTGTAGTAGTAGGGATTAGAGTGAAAGTGGGCAGTTTTCCTGCATTTGGTCTGTTCCTTTTTTAGGACGAAGCTTGAGCTCAGTGTTAGGAAAACCCCCTTCCTTTCCCAAACACGATTAAACCTCTTGTTTTGCTCGTCATTCCACTGCATACACTGACCACCCTCTTCCTCTTGGCTTTTTCATACTTGTCTCGCAGTAGTGTGTGTTTCTTCCTGTGTACACACCGGTCCCTCGGACTCACAGAGGAAAGTTAATGAACAAACCGAAGCACAGGCTTCATATCTCATTTGTAAACATTGTCTTACTCCACTCTACTTACACTGTCTGCTGAAAACTCCCGGACCTGAAACCAGGGTCAAGTTCACCAGGCCAACTTTAGTTGGTGCTTAAATATCAAAAGGTGCGGCTCTAGTAAGACTATAGAGATGAATCAACTGTGCCTGTGGAATTGAAGGAATGCAGGAAGTGGTGGACTGCTAAATTCCAGCTTTCACTTAGACTACAGAAGAACTCTCCCTTTTTTCTTCTTTTTTGTCTGCGTGCGTGTAAATTTGTGCAAATTACATTCATACACACTTTCATCCTACACACTTCTTGGCTCACTTACACACAGCTCTATCAGATGCATGTACACACAACACACACATATTCATTGGACACTCTGTGACCCTTTCACTCCCTGTTCGGTCTCTCACACACACAGACACACAACAACACACCAGACACACACACACAGACACAGAACACACACACACAGCCAGCTGTCACTGTGTAGTCCGGAGGAGTGTTGAGGAAGTCAGCGGAGCAGGAATGTTGATGGGTCGGATGTGCTCTGCTGCTTTAGGCATTCACTTTCTACCATGAATCATCTTGGAGCAGATGCAGCATTGACATGAATGTTAAAGTAGAAACTCAACATCAGGCTACTGAAGTCTCTAGTTTAATATGCTAACTAGGCCTGCAATCTGAGATGAAGTTAATCAGTTAAATAGAATAAACCCATCAATCATTTGGTTTATTAATGTCACAATTGTTAATTGTAAAAAAAGTCACCGTCACCATATCTCAGAGCCTTACGTAATGTCTCCTAATATGTTTTGTCTGACCAACAGTCTAAACCCAAAGATATTCAGTGAACTATATAATTAAGACAAGACAAAGAAAAGCTGCACATCCATCACATTTGAGAAGCTGGATGAACAGATTATTTCTTATCTTGCTTAAATAATGACTAAAAGAATTGATCAATTAGAACAATAGTTGATCATTTTTCTGCTTTAATACAGACAGGAGGGAAAAATGCACCTTGTGTAAATGTTTGCATTTACTCAGATCAGACGCACAGTGAATCAGTTTCACTCCTCATGTGCCATTTTATAATTGCTGACAGCAGTCTGGGGTAAATGTACAGAGGACAATAAGCCCCAGCATCAGTATCAACAGCCCCCCTCCACCACCTCCTCCAGCAGTCTGCACAATGCATTCAAACCCCTGCCATGCTCTCAACACAGCTAAATCCCTCTCTGCTTGTATTTGACACAGTATTAAAAGTGACCCATTTCGTCAGGCACCACTTCTGATGTCTGCACATGCAGAGTGAGAGACTGTCTTGGGGCAGTTTAATTACATCTGTCATCCCCTGTCTCTCAGAGGTCACCAATACGATTTAATGACACACAAGGCCATATTTCTTTATTAGGAGAAGTGGATAAATACCACTGAGGCCACTGAGTTCTTTCTCTGTCTAGACAGACTCCCTCTCACAATCTTACAAAGTGACGGTTGCATTCATACACACACCAGTTCTCCCATTTGGGCTGAACCTGTATTGCTGCAGCCTCTGTCGTGATCATCACAATACTTGCTACACATTGAAATGGTCACCAAAGGTATTGAGCTAGTTGTGATATTTAGAAGGCGTGCCGCGTCCTGAATGTGGTTTTAGATCTTCAGTGAAGTAGGATTTGTTATGCAAATGTGGAATGGCAGACAATAGAGGTTTTCTTGTACCTCATAAAAATGCATGAGGCTGTTCATCTTGACCTGGCAGACCATTTCAGTAATTCTGCTGTTGTGTATGTATCGTTGTGCAGTCATCTTTCTGAACACAAAACGTGGCGCTATTGACTTACCCACTTGAAGAATGCCCAAACTGTGTACAGTGTATTCTAATGGATATGAAAACGAGCACCAGCGCTGTAATTTAGTAAAACATCACTTATCTGTGCCGTGCGTGTGTGGATGGGATTTTAATGATCCATTCGCTTCCTCTCTGTGCTGCGTCACAGAGTGTCAGCTGGTTACAGATGATGCCTTTACTTGGCCAGAAGGGGGTCATCACATGAGGAATGTGATTTACTCTGTCTGTTAAGCTCCTGGCATTAGGAGCTGGACTGGCACAACTACGGCAGGGCATGCAGGTCACAGTGCCAGTCCAGCTCCCTGTCTCACTGCTCTTCTCTTTGGAGCAGCTCCTTCCTGTCTGAGGAGTGCCACCGCCTTTTGTCAAAGAGCTACTTTGACCTGATGTAATTAATACTTTCTAATGCAAACATGCCAACCCATTATTAAACTCTAGATGAAACTGTGAGAAGCCACCTGGCTAATGATTGATTTTATTTGCATATCACTGTCCCAAAGGCTCTACACACAACGCTAATGGAGCCTTACTTAAGGTGAGAGGTTTTCCAAAAAGAAGGGACAATCCAAACATTGTATTGGTAGGCAGCTTACGCTCGGATACACGACCTTCCTTTCTGTGTGAGATCTGTAACCACAGAGACCAGAGGAGAACAAGAATGACTAGAGAACGCAGCAGGAGAGAGAGAACCTTTGTAAGGCATCCACTGGGTCCAGCCTGTAACCTTTCCACGGCTGAACCAAAGGGTAGGACTTAATCATTGTATAGAGGAGACTAGGGGGGTTTCAGTCGCTGTATATACAGGTGTGGGTGTTAGTGTGGTATGAGTCTTGTGTTTGGTGTAGTCAATGGTTAATCAGCCTAAAACTGGAAAAACAAGTTATTCCCTATTGACAGCAAGTGGTTCATTTATTTATGCATTTGTCCTTTTGATTGATGAAGCATTGTTGTTGCTCAGCTAACCTACAGTGCATTGCTGCCAAAGAGCTAAGACTTAGAGACTTCACAACGTTTTTTGATTCTGCCACAAAAAGTGAATGCAGTATCGTGTTACCTCAGATGTTAATGTGTAACTGGCAAGGAAACAAATGTTTCCTGACCTTTGGACAAGAACGAGTGCTGCTTCTCCGAAAGACTTAATTCTGTTGGAAATGTGTCAGTTGGAGACGAACAGAGATGATTATCCACCCTAAAGGCGAAAGCTTGTAGTACTTGGTTATTATTCTGCGCTGTAAGGCTGTATAAAGCCTCGGTAGTCTCGTGTCTGTGGAAACTTTTGCTCACTGGAACTTTTTTCCTACATGGTTTTAGTTATCTGGCTTTAATGGTTTTCATATCATAAATCACTGATACACTTTTTTTATTAGGTTTTTTTTTTTTTTTTAGGTGGGAGGTGCCAGTTCACCACCATGGCACTGATGAAGTGCCCTTGAAAAGTCCCCACTGTGGAAATATAATAGAGTAAATCTTCTTTTTGTTTGCACAGAAAGTGCGGTTTGCTCTTTTCTGAAATGCTGGATTGTTTTTTTTCATTCTTATTATTACTCCTGCCTTTCTTACCTTGTTCTAAACCTAACCTGTCAACTTATCTTTGTGTACCATTCCTTGTGTTCCTTTTTTTAATCTTTTACTCTCCCTTTTGTTTTGTTCCATTACTTTCTCATATTCTCATACAGTTCTTGCTCTTTAGCCATCTCAGCCTTTTCTTCATTTCCTCTTCAATCCATCTCCTGCACAGCCCGTTTCCTCCATACAGAGCTTCTACTGGCTTGACCATATGTGTGGCAATTTACTGGAAGCAGATCTATTAGCAGTGGAAGGGGGGGAGGGTGTTACCAAGGAGTACAGAAGAACAAGTGGCTGTAGAAAAAGGAGAGGAGTAATTGGGAGGGGGGTGGGGAGAAGCTTTGTGGTCTGAAGGGGTGATTGGGGGGTTTGAATAAAACCACAACAGATCCGGGAAGAGCTCTGTCCATCCAGAGCAAGAGACTTGACTGAGGTTAATGAGTTAAGACTTATATTGGACTCTATTCACATACATCCTCCACATCTTCCCCTTCTTCTGCTTCTCTGAATTAATATAAAGTATAAGAAGTTTTCCACTAGTACTCTCAATTAAGGAATCTCCCAGCACAGAAACCTCTTAAGTGAATATAGAATGATGATTACCATCTGTATCTGTTTAACAGCGAGAAAGACAATGGCCAACAAATGGGCCATTTGGAGCCTATTTTCCACCTCCTCCCTCTCCTCCCTCTCCTCCTCCTCCTCCTCTGTGGCCTGTGTGTCATGTCAAGAGATTGTGAAGCCTCTCTTGGCTTTCAGCACTCCAAACCACAGCCTTTTCCTTTTCAGTTTCTAGATGCTGGAACCATTTGGGGCACAGTCACAAGTCATCAGTTTTTTATATTTCTGCCCCATAAACTGTGCAGTTAAACCAATCCATGGTTCCTTTTATTGTGGTATTTTATTACGGATTCCTAACTTTATTTTGGTGCTGCAGGCGTTATATTATCATTGTAGTTCAGTTAGATGGGCAGTCTGTGGAGGAGAGTAAACGGTTTTGAGAAAAGATTTGTTGGCATCTCCCACTGCTCACTTCCTCTTTTTCAGACTCCCCCAAATTCCTTGTAGGCCCCTTACCATAAATGGCGTTTCCTTTGGCTGACAGGGACATGTTTTTCATGACTTTGAGTAGTACAGCATGTTGCATTAAGAGGAGGTGTGCAGTAAAAATGATGGACATGCTCGTGACCCTTGTTTTATTGTGCCTCTGCAGGACATTAAAGTGTGAGAGGAACTGGCCGTTCAAGACGAGTGTGAGCCCCTGAACCTTGTAAGCAACAGCAGTAACGCCGGCGTCCACGTCTGAGGAGAAGGGAATGAAACCGGATGGGGTTACCATGGAAACCACGGAGCCCACTGAAGCTGCAGCAGTAGCAGAGCCCTCCTCATCGCAGGAGGACACATTGGAGCAGGCCCCGTCGCAACCAGAGGAAGCTGCAAAGGATGCAGCACCCAGAGCTGCTCCAAAGGCCAACAGCAAGCCAGTAGCAGCAGACCCCAAAACCAAACCAAAAGCTATTGCAACTAAAACACAGCCTACAGCTGCGTCTGGAGGAGCCTCTGGATCCAACTCACGGCCAGGTACTGGCTCTCACCGCACGCTGAATGACGTTAAATCCTCCAACAATGCTTCTGCAGCTGCAGTCAAGAAAACGGCAACAACAAAATCAGCAGCGGGGGCCGTACCTAAAAGACCAATGGGTGTAGCAGCAGTTTCTTCCACGGTTAAGAACCAAACTAGAGTGCCTGACAAGAAGCCTATTGGAGCGGCCAGGACTACCTCTGTTACTGCCACAGTAACAAATGGTACCAAACCAACAACAGTGAATGGCACTGCTAAGAAAAGACCAGGGGCTGAGACTGTTAATGTAGCTAGACCCAAAACTACAGGTAAGTCTGAATGAGATAAGTAAGACTGAATTGAATTTAAATCATTTCACAACATGAAAATGAGTGACACGCATGGTTTCATTCCTCTGCTGTCATTGACAACCTGTACTTGTCTAATTTTCATGTTCTTTAATTCTTTTTAAGCTACTACCAGCAGACCAACAGCATCCACTGCCCCAAAACCCAGCACTTCGACCACAGCAAAAGCTGGTGCTGCTGCCGTTTCAAAGACCACCAGGTATGCTTGCCTATCACAAACAGAAAGCAGGTGATTAAATAATATAAACAGTCAATGATACTGTGTCCATAGAGCACTCAAACACAGACTTTTGAAGTTCTGGTTGGGAACCCCCCTTTTATCTTACTGACAAAAACACTCTTTTTCTCAGTTTTGCATCGTCTGTCATTCACACACATGCTCTCCCGCTCTGGGATCTGAACTTTGTAATCCCCCTTAAAAACTAGATGAGAGAGTGACTTTGTTTATCTTGATGCTCTGAAAGAGAGCAGTGGAGAACGATGGCCATTGTGGTCTTTGGATCGTTATTGAGTCAGATTTCACTTGAAGAGTGTGAGTCATGTTAGCAGAAATAACCTGAGACAGAGGGGCCTTAACAGAGGCAGCGATACTGAAGAACTACCGCTTTGTCCCAAACGGACCCCCTGGCAGAAACCAGCCCCACCCCCCGGGGCAGAGAGCTATTGACTCAGATCATAATCCCTCTCATACTGAGCTGGTGGTTTGGATAGAGAGCGCACTAGATGACTAAACTTGCTGAAAGAGCTGCTTTCAATGATCATTTTGGATGTAAAATTTCATAGCTTGACCTGTCATTTACTACCCTTTCATCTGAAAGAAATTCAAGATATACTAGCTTTTTATAATCTGGTGACAAACATAATTATCAGTTGGCAGCCATAGCAATAAGGACAAACTTGCTGAATTTGAAGTTGATTAATGTGATAGGCATTTGTATAAATGAAGTGATCTAAAGTTTAGAGTCATATCCATACACCAATCCAACATCTTTCCACAGGATGTAGTGTTCTGGTCTTAGAGGCCTGATTAGATCCTCTTTCCACTTGTCTTCCCTCTTAATGATCTCTTATTAAATAAAGAAATAATGTGCTGCGTCATTCTGTGTTAAGAAGCAGCACAGGGTTATTGCATTCTTTCTTTGCTATAAGAAAAATAAAAAAATAAAGTAAGCAATGCCTATTTTTATACCTCAACTCTTTCTATCATTGATAGAATCGTCATATTTTACAGAAGACAATGCTAGGACTGAAAAGAACAGATATTTACATTGTTTCCTTTTGTTAATCTATTTATTAAATCTACAAAAAGTCAGGCATTTAAACATTTTACTGAACAATTTTCTATCCCAGGTTTCTTGAATCCAAGTTGGCAGAATATATTTGTGAACAACAGGTTTGACAAAATGTGCAGCAAAGCTGAACAAAGGAAAGGCCTGAACCAGAGAAAGAGAATTTGTTGATTTTTGACTGTACGTGGAGAAGCTCGTCCTCTGAATTAATCATATCCAACATTTCAAGTGTTAGTGTCTGATTACAGTAGCACATCATCCTTATGAGTGACTTGTTCCCTGGGACGTGACATCAGACACTCGTCTCTCAGGCTTGAGACACAGAGAGAACAACAGGAGAACCGCAGCAGGTCTCTGCCCTTGTGACAGATGATGCGTGTTGCGTTTCGTGCCACCTGCGTGTGATGGCAAAGTCAGTGGCATGTCGAATCCTTTGTGTAGCGGTAGTGGTGTGCTTTTCAGTCAGTGTTGGTGTTCGTGCAGGCTCTCTGGCAGAGTCACACATTAGCACCAAGAGACCTTCTTTCAGCTCAAGCGGTGACTTGCATTATTCATGGCACTGGGAATGATAGCACTAGCAATCTATAGCAACACATCCAACAGAATTTAGTGGTGTTGAAGCTTTTGGCAAACTACCCTGTGATATTATTTAGCTGCAACACAATGGCTGAGTAGTCTCTTCCCTGTAATTTTGCAGTCACTTTCTTGTAATTCCAGCCCTGCCATATTGTTTTTCGTATTACTAAGACAACAGAAGTCATTGTTGTCCACACTGTCACACACACAAACACGGCAACCCTTTTTCTTTTCTTTTTTAAGTAAAGTATCTGCAGGTAAATCTTTCATGTAGACCTTAAACAGCACAGACAATAAGGACTCTGTATAGCCCACACACTGTATGCAACATGCCACTGAAAGTGTAGAAGCACACACTGCCAATGGCCAATAGAAAGACCAGCTCCTCTCATGAAATATTAATGTTGATTGGCCCAGAGGGAAGAATGAAAACGCATACATATATACATACACGTTCAGCGATGAGGTCTCGTAAACAGGATTTGTACTTAAAGAAGGTGGGAATAAGATTTGTTAGGATATGTTTGCAAAGGCTGGATCTGATCTGAACATTATTGTTGTGTACAGTAATGTGGTAGGACTGATTCAGCTGCATGTTATTTCTGTGTTTCTTAGTTAAAATATGTAACTAAGAAACACATGCGTGAGTAGACCCACAGTCCATGTGAATGACAGGAGGATGTCTCTGTCTCAGTGGTCAGTGAGAAGCCTTCATAACTAAAGTATAAACCAGATGTTTTAAAATCTGGCACCTGCTTTGCTTTGCTGTCCTCCAATGATGGGTTATGGTGTCCTTGCTCTGACTGAGCAATCAGTCTTTGTCCGCCCCACCCCCCTCATTCAATCTCTTCTCTTCCCCCTCGTCCCTTTTTTTTTTTTTTTGCCGTCTGTGCATGTACAGTGCTGGGCATTTGGCCAGGATCTCCTAAAGCCCTCCTTACAGACCATCTTCCATCTAGTTGTTCCCATATTTCTAACTCATTCATCATTTAGCTGCATTACAGAGACCGTAACATTCACAGAGTAGTTGTGTAACATGAGAGAGACGGTGCTTATGCCTTCATGGTGCTGAACAATCTGTAAGATGATTAATATTCAAAAGGGTCACCGTTGGGACAGAATTGCTGGTGGATGGTACTTTCTCTCTCATTCTCTCTATTCAAAAACTGAATCAAAATTACAGCAAAACCATTGCAACACACTTTATTCTCACTTTAATCTTTTTTGTCTGTTTCTGTCCATGTCTCTTCTGTGTTGTGCCATTGGAGATAAAACTGTAATTTCTCCCTGACAGTCTTGGCAGGGGGCAGGATTACTTTCCTAACAGAAAAGGCCCATGGCATCTATCACAGTGACAGTGGGTGCCTAGGACCGAAGAGCCAACACTGTCTGTCATGCTATTGCTAGGCTACAACATTTCATCTAAACTCTCTGCTGACCTGATTCAGGCCTCCACTCTATTGTCAAGGAGATAACGGTAGGCCCACACAAACCCTAGGAATGTGTGCTCCTCTCGAGAAGCAGTAAAGCAGCTGGTTTTGGACAGCCTACAAGCCAAACAAGGTATTGTTAGGGTGCTCCATTTCCATTTGTTGTCTTGGAGGGGGGCCCTTGAAGTGGTGAGGGGGAAAAGCACGAGGGCAGAAGAATGTGTACTTGGAATACATTTTATTTGTAGGATGAACTTGCTGTAACAGGGATAAAGTGTACCTCTGGGTCAAGCCCTCTCCTTTTTCTTTGGATTGATTAAAACAGAATAATTTAATCCAGAGCAGCGAGTATGCCAAGGGAGTCTAGCCTCCCAGTTGTGTTTTTTTTAGAAGGGAAGAGGGAGTCTTGGATGAATGGATGGAGTGGGTGTGGCTCCAAAAACCCCCCTGGCTCATGTTTACTCTTTGATTTTTGGCCAAACAGATGTTTCAGGTGCTCAGTATGTTAATACCATGGGTGTGTTTTTTTTGCATCTGTCATAAACATCTGTGAATATTGACTGTAGATAAAGTGCCATAAAGTGTGTCAGTCCCTATTCCGACCTTTGCCCTTAAGACCTCACGTTTGGTCATTCAAATCCTTTCAGATGGCTGTGGAGTGCCTCTCATCCTCCCTCTGGACTGTGATTTGTATTGATTTCAACCCTCTGTTGGCAGGAAATCTAATCCATACTAATACACCAACAACAGAACCACCAGCCACCACCCACAGACAGCGTGTGGAGTACAGGCATTAGTTGGGTCTATCTGTTCCTCTCTGTGCCGTCCCTCTGGATCATACCATTAGGAGTTATGACTCATAAAACAATGTAGGGTGCGGTTTGTATTGTGTCTCTGACCTCCCCTTGCCCCTTTTATTCTCTCTTCTTAACTCTTTTTATTTCTGTCTCTCTGTCTAATTTCATCCCTCAGACTCATCATTTTTCCCTCAGAGAAAGTCATTCATTACATTTTGTCTGCCTTAAGTCCTGCTATAATTGAGAGGACCTGTCAATTCACATTTTGCTTGCATGCAGGATTAGATATGAAAACAGCCTCAATTAATGCATCCTTTTCCTACCTCTGCCCCCATTCCATTATTGTTTTTCTGTTTTAAAAGTTCCTGTCCTGTGTATCTGTTTATTCTTCTGTTGTTCATTACCCAACATTGACTCGGGGCAGATTTCATCTCAGTGTCTGACACACTTTCCAGTTTTTGGGCTGCAATTCACATTGTAACCCAAATCATCTGTCTGATAGCATCCCAGTACAATCTTCCCTACGAGTTCATGTCTGTGCAGTTGCTGTCTGATCTTGGGGAAACAAATGGTCATTGTAATGGTTATTGTAATGTGGGAGCGGCATCTGTGTGCAGGCATGCTACTATGCTGGAAGCCATCAAAGTCGATGCATGTCCACATCATCTAGCAACAAAGACACACTAAGTTCAAAAGAATACATAATGGAGGTGGTTGTAATTGGTTGTTGGATCACAGTTCTTTTAGACAATTACATTTGATTATTTTTATTTTATTACTTTTGTTGTTGTGAAACTTTATTTGTTTTATTAGAAAAGGATTTTAAAAAATGATTTCCATTGCTGAGGTTTTGCATTGTTTTTGTTGAAAAGATTGCTGGTACTGTCTGCGACTGACGAGTCGTTCATTTAGCCGACGGACTTTTTGTTTTGTAGGTTAGCCAATACAGAAGTGTATTGCAGCACAGGCAAATGTTTTGTGTGGAGATTTCAGAGCCAAGTATAGCACAGCACAAGCAACATTCAGATTTATATGTAGGTTACTGCTCCTCATATCCCTGTACTTTTAAGTCTGATGCACAAATATCACTGTACATTTCAGTCACTTCAATACAAGTCACTTTGACTGATTGTCAAATGTAATCTTATAACAGGGTGTTGGCACATGGATATACTTAATATTTGCCTGTTTTAGTTGAACTGCTCAGAGGACTGTTTTTAGAAAAAGGCTTGCCTATTGGGCCTTCATGTGTCTGTCAGTGAGACCATGAAATGCATAACTTACTATCACAAATTAATCTTGTAGGGATAGTGCAGACAGAGTTGCTCTGGTGCTTTACTTGCATATTTCCACTCTCTGTGTTTATTCTCTTTTAAGTAAAGCAAAAGGGAGAATGTGGCCACATGATTTTATTTTATTTTTTTACATGAAGGTGGGTTCAAATATGCTAAGTGAAGCAATGTAATGTGAAGTTTACTGTAGCTGTAGTAGGTTGTAGTGCAGTGTGCCTATGCTTAGGGCAGAGCACATGCTGGATCCGTTGTTCGTCTAGGAGGGTATCCTAATGGAAGAGCCTCCTCTCTCATACAGATAGGAGTTTTGGCTTGTTGCAGTTAGAGTGATTGAGTGGATTAGTGAAGTATCACATAAGAACTCAGACTGAGAAGTAGACCAGGAGCTTAATACAGGATTGATTTTAAGCTGATGTTTTCTTCCCTCCTCCACTTCCTGTATATTATCTCCCCCTCTCCCTTTCTTCCTCTTTTAAACCATATTATTTCACTGTTACTGTTCATTGCCTCAGTTCCCATCTCCTCTACGTGTGCAATATCAGTTGTTTTTTTGTCATTCTTATTCTGTTCAAGCTTTCCATTCCCCATCTATAGATTTTTTTTTTTTTTTCTTCTGCCACCCTCCTTCTCATTACACGCAGTTGCCGCCTCTTTGAATTGATTGGAGAATGAAGGAGGCATTACACTGTGGTAATAGATGGATGTCGCTGTGTTAATGGGTTTCCATTATTGAAATTGCTTCTGTGGTTTACATTAGAACAGGTAATTCATTTTTGCATGTAGAGGGGGGGGTGTCAGATATCGTGTTTGGATTTTTGCCAACAAAGTGAGCCGACCACAAATATTAAGCTACTACAGCTTGTTTTTGTTTTAATTTTTTTATTCTTAGGCTTTTGTGTGTCACCTGAACATGTCTTTGTTTTACTGCCTCCAGACCTGCTACAGTTCCCTCAGCATCTCGACCTGCAGCCACCACATCCAGGCCCACCACAGCTACAACCAAGCCCTCCATCACTGCAACTGCCAAACCTGCTGCTTCTAGAGTTACCACAGCATCCTCTACTGGCAGGACCACAGCAGCACAGCCTCCCAAAACTGCTGCTGCTAAGAAAGGTTAGAAGTTGCACCTTGTCCTGACGAGGAGATTCTCTTCTGGAGCATAGCTGACAACTTTGGTTTACGAGTTCAAACTCTCGGTCTAAAGTGGTTGACTTCATCTGTTATATGTGTGAAAACATTTGTTTATGAACAGTTCATTCCTGATTTTAGCTGTGGATGTGTTCATTGGAAACGCAAATCAATATTAAACGTGATAGAATTATTTTGAATTGACAGTCTAAAATAAAAATGCTCTGCCAACATAAGTTTATCACAATTTTTATTTTTTATTGCTAATCGTATTGGGTGAATTAATGGATGTTTTTCTCTTTTTACCAGATGTCAGTCGACCAGCTTCTGCTGCAGTCGCTAAGAAACCTACAACAACTACAACATCCACTGCTTCCAGAAAACCGGAACCCTCTAAACCCACAGCCACCGTAAAGCTCAGCTCTGCCTCCAAATGGTCCACAACAACAAAGGCAGCAGACCCCAAAGTGTCACAGGCAAAAACTCAACCACTTGCGAAATCTACTCCTACAAAGAAACCTGTAGCTGCTGTTCGGTTCCCTGCCCTTAACAAACCGCCCCTTGGTCGAACCCCACCTGCCTCTCCAGCCAACAAACCTGCAAACAGCGCCACATCTCTGGCAAAACGTGGCACCAAACCCACTCAGGCTGTCTCACCTTTCACTGCAGCAAAGAAGACGGGGGTTACAAATACTACCACACCTGCTTCAAGAGCACAGAGTGCTGCTGGGGCTGCTGGTGCAGCGGTAGCAGCGGTAGCAGCAGCGACTGTGCTCGCAGAAAGACAAACGGAAGCTACAGTGTCCTTACCGCAAGGATCATCCCTTGCTGCATCTGCACCAGAGCAGTTCCCTCCCCCAGTCTTGGCCCAGGATACCACTCCGGAGGTGGTACCTCAAATGACTGCTCAAAGCCATGCAGCCGCTTCCTCTCCTCCACAAAGCCCTGTCAGGACAGCCTTACCACAGACCTCTTCATCCCAGGAGCAGTTAGAAAGCAGCACTCCCTCCTTAACAGCGCAGGAGCAGACCCCTGCCCCAGCTGAGCCTACATTACCAACAGTGGCCTCGCCTCCTCACCTCTCTGAGGAGCCTGTTTACCTGTTGACTGACCAAACCCCCTCCACATCTGAAGCCCTCCCGGCCTCAGCAAATGCTATTCCTCAGATGGTTCCTCCAACCAATCTAAATGACGAGGAGGACGAAGAGGAGAGGGAGGGAAGCCAGCTGGTTTCTGTGTCTGAAATGAGTGGAACCACACAGCCCACGGAGGAGTCTCGTCCTGGATCGGCGGGACCAGTGGGAGGGTCTGCTTGGAGGGCCGGTGGCGCCTTGCTTCCCTGAGCTGGACTCTGAGGATGTAAGCGGCAGCCAGCAGGGTGCATCTGAATTGAGCGCCCCTGGTGTCCTGGAGGGCACAGAGAGCATGGATGATCTAGGAGACGGCAGTCTCAAAGGAGCCATTGATATGGAAGGAGCCTCAGCAGGTTCACCTGACTTTGAGAAGGTTCCTGAGATACCCGTTAATGACTTCGATGAGGATGAAGATGACGACGATGACGATGATCGGGTGTGTGACATGGATGTGGGCTCAGAGCGGGCAGATGAACCGCAGAGACCCAGGCATGACAATGATGTGGATGACGATGAGGAGGATGAAGATGTTGAGATGGCGAGTGAGGGGGTTACAGAGAGTGGACTGGAAAGCTATGGGAATGCAGATGAGGATGATTTTGCTGAGGATGAAAGGCTGGACAACCTGAACAGAGTGGGCCAGCCACCACCTCCCCCTATGCTGCCCTCTGCCCCTGCGGCTCAGTGGGACCAGCCAAACCCCTTTGCGGATCCCTGGGAGGAACCTCTTCAGCCACAGCAGGTTCTTGAGCACGTCTCCCAGCCTGAACAGGGGGCAGGAGCGGCTGCTGCAAGCCCTGTGGCAGAGCCCTGGCAGGCAGATTCAGAGACCCCAACTCAGACCCCAGCCCAAGCCTGGCTAGAACTAGGCTCTGGTCTTTTTGCTCTTGAAAACCAAGAAGTCCCCCATCATTTCTCTAACAAAGATGAGCCACAAAATCAAGAGGCCCAAATGTACATGAACCAGTCCAGCCCAGCTCCAATGCAGACCCTGGCCCCAGCTCCCCTCTCTGCCCCAGGAATGTCTCTGTCAAGCACCCTAAGCAGCGAGACCAGCACACCGGAGGAACTCGGGGACTACAATAGAGAAGGAAAGTTCCAGCCTCAAGATGCGCAGGCGTCTGCGCTTTCCCCACAGGCTGATCTGGACGACCAGGACCTGGGCATCCACTTGGAGAGAGGAGACGGGGAGGGAGAAGAGGAAGCTGAGGCGGAGACCCTGCCTGCTGATGAAGTCTTGGGAGGCCCTGCAACTGCCCCCACTTCAAACCCCTCTTCATGCTCCGGAACAGAAGACGAGGCCAGCGACACAGAGGGAGAAGCTCAGCTGGATGATTCCTTGGAGAGTCCGTTGGTCAGCCACATAACCTTTGACAGCCAGCCTCCAGCTCAGCGCTGCCTGTCCACTGTAGAAGAGGGAGAGGAGGCCGAGATGGAGGGTTGTGCAGGTGAAGACACTACCCCACCTTCTGCTACATCGCTGGCATCTTACGGCTTTGACACCATGACCACAGCCTCAAACTCCAACGCCCAGTCCACAGGGGAGAGCTGCATCAGGAGCCCTGGCATCTTCTCTCTGGAGGAGCTACCCGAGGAGGCCAAGGAGCTCGGTCTGATCCCACAGCCTCACACCCAGCCGTACCTCGCAGAGCAGCAGTACATTGAGTGTGGGAAGCAGGAAGCGGAGTCCGCTGAGTACGGCAGGGGGGAAGTGCCGGGGCCAGAGGAAGCCCTGGATCCTTCATCAACTCCTAGCACTTTGCAGCAACCAGAGGAAAACCCCGATGACATCCAGCCTCCGTACTATTCTGCTATCTGTGAAAAGACTGAGAACTCTTTTACAGGTAATGTATAGTTCATCATCTCCTTAACAGCCCAAGTAATGTCCCCTAACTCCCTCTGGCCCTGTTCCAGCCTCACCACAATATCTCACTGTTGTAGTTCTTGTCGTCAGTGTTTGTCCTGAAATCTCTGGGGGTGGACGTAACCAAAGTTAAACTTAAAAAAAACAACAACAGAGAGCACTAGAAAAAAAGAAAAGAAAAAGAGGACAGCAGTGGCACCTCCCTCTGATATAACGTTTCCATGATGAATATATGGCTTAAATTCCTGTATGTGCAATAGCTACTACTATTTACTGCTAATAAGTGTGAGTGTGTCTGGGTTTTGGTTTCTGTTTTATTTAACACAGAATTATGTGGGTACCCTGAACTGGCATGGATTTGACTTGTCTGTTTACAGCTCTTAAAGAGGGAAAACAAGAAAATAAAGCATAACAAAAGAAATGTGGAATGAACTGTTTAACATGTTTTCATGTGTATTTATCCCAATACTTTTTACTGACCATTAGTTTTGATTGTATATTCCTGTTTGATTTTCGCTGTCCTACCTTATGATACAGGCAATCTTTCTTATCCACAATCACTCCTCATCTGTTCTTGCACTTTAAATTGTAATCCAGCTTTTTTTCTTGTGTTTATTCATCTTTTGGAGTAATGAACCTTAAAACTTTAAATAAAGATTAGATTTTTACCATGCTGTACTCTCTCACTGTATAGTTTTATTGAAATGGGCTCTTGGGAGTGGAGTGTTAGGCATACTTATCTATGGATTTGTGCGTGAGACAAATCTAACACATTAATTTCAAGGTGTCAAAAGCTTTTTTATTTTTTACCAGTGGCTCATTATACTGCAGACACTTCCACTCAGTCAACCATGTAGCCTACAGCTTATCATTGCTTTAATCTTGCCATACACTCACACAGACACTCACTTGGCCTTTACTTTGAAAACTGGACACGATAAACTGGAGCTTGTGCCCGACCTCAAAGACTTCACTGGTCTGAGAAACCACATAACTGGAACAAATCTGCCATGAGTTGATCATCCACGCCACCGGACCTTCTCATCCATGGATCAACCTTTGCCATCTGAAGCAGCAGAGAAGTCGGACATCTCATCGTTCAACCTGAAGAACCCAGCCCGGCTCATTCTGCTGCTACTTTATTTCCCTCCAGTCCACTGTGGGTGTGTTTCTGTTTTAGCTCTTTTCTACTGGCTTTTTTAAGCATTCTTGCTGCACTGTTTTATAGCCCTGTATTAATGTTAACTTATGCTTATGCATGTCACTGTTGCACAATGACTTGACTTTCATTACTTTACTTTTGGATTGGTGTGTTCAGGGTCAGCCAGATAGCTTGGCTCTAGGACTTGATGTACTTAGGTTGGAATAATGTCTAGCCTTCTAAAGCCAAGCTATTGTTTCAGTCTTCTTGTGATGCTGGATGTCTATAAATGCATGGAGAGCTTTTGCATGTGTCATTGGTTGACTAACTTTAAACTTCATTCACGGGTGATGACTGTCTAAGCTCGCAATATGTTTTTTTTCTGTGGTTGTTTATCACCATAGTTGATAGTGATTGCATATACAGGAAGTTGGCTGCTTTTTTTGCACAAAAAAAAACTTTCTTTTCTGGGTGTCATTTAAAAAAAGAAAAAAAATAACATGTAGAGAAAAAAAAAAACCCCACGTTAAATATGCACATTTGCTCTCTGCACAAATTTCCCTACCCTTGCCCCAGCCACCACCCCCAGTCACCTTACTTTGGGTCACTATTCTGGTGTGTCACTGTTTTGTTTTTTTTTACACAAATGCTGTGTCTCCACCCCTCTGAATACTTAGCAGGCTGTATCTGTCACTGCTGCACTGCTTTCAAACAATGTCCCACTGTCACTTGTTCAAAGTACAAAACTACAAATAATTGCTGGTCAGTTAGGCTACTGGCAGACTTTTGGGCTTGGCTTCACAATGCTTTTACTATTCCTTCAAGTATGAGCCTCTGAAGGCCGCCCCTTTCCTCTACACCCTTTTGCTTGTACTCACACCGCACTGCTGTCACTGTCCTGCTGCCTGTGACCTGTTTTATAACACCACGCTACTGTAATCTTCCTTCCCGCTTCCTCTCACACACAGGCTTCACTGCACTACCGCACCCTCACCGCCGCGATCACGCAGCATATCCCAGAACCTACTGTGACATCGTCAAACCTCACAGCGCCACGGTCAACCCGGCGAAGCTCACCTGTGCCGACCTCCCACCCAGGAACCTCGGGCAGCAGGCGCTGAGCCCTCAGCTCCGCAGGTTAGAGCAACACCAGAGACAGCTGCTGGAGCTGCAGCAGCGCAGGGAGCAACAGAGCCGACCGCTGGAGGAGGCGGAGCAGGAGCGGAAGAGGAGGGAGGAAGAGGAGCAGAGGAAGAAGAAAGATGAGGCTGAAGAAGAAATAAAGAGGAATAAAGAGGAGGTGGAGAGGAATATGCGAGAGCAGGCAGAGATGACAAAGAAGAAAGAGGAGGAAAAATTGAGGAAAGAGGAGGAGCTCCAGCAGAGGAGAGACCTTGAACTGCAACTGCAGCAGCAGCAGGAGGAGCTGAAGCAAAGACAGCAAATCATGCAGTGGCAACAAGAGCTGCAACAGTCTAATAAAGGTCAGACGGTCCTGCTGTCGCCTTCCTCTGGCCTCTGCACCATCTATGAAGCTCTGGAGAACAGTGATGAAGACGAGGCTGAAGATAAAGGGGTAATAAAGCAGCACACTACTACAGAGGAGCCTGGACAAGAGACGTCAAATGAAGAAATAGACGAGGACTGTGAAAGGGGGACATCAGATGAAGACAAACATGGAGATTCGTCGCCATCCACAGAGACCCTTCCTCCTCTCCCAGACTCCCCTCAGACACCGAGCAACCCCTCCCAGGATGGAGACAGCTCCTCCCCTTGCCCTCCTGAGTCTCCAGAGCGACCTCCACCCCTGGACCTGGACTGGGGGAAGAAAGTGGACATTGTCCAGCAGCTGATCAATCAGACCCTGCTGCTCAACAGAGATGGCTGCTCCTCCCTTCTGCTGCTGCCAGGAGGTGCAGGAGGCACACTGAGCCCCCTGGAGAGCAGCCTGTGGCCCAGCCTCCTGCCTCCCCTCACCCCTCCCTCTGCCACAGTCACCTCTGTAAGCAGTTTCTCCCCAGAGGCCACTGGGAGCTCCCCACAGGGAGAGTGGACAGTGGTAGAGCTGGAGACGCATCACTGAAGGTGTGTGTGTGTGTGT